TTTTTTTAGCTACATGCACATCATGCTAATGACTAGCTTTTGGATAATGACAATCATCGACTATGCCTGCACAGTGTATATGTCTGCAGGCCCAAGTGTGGTCTCCACTATGGGTGCATGTGACAGGCTGACAATGTAGAAGTACAATTAGACACTTGTCAGCCCAAAGCAGAGCTGCCAAAACAAAGACCTTCATAACAGGATAACCAGGTATTCTTTTAATGCAAATTTTAAAAGATTGAAGACGATTCTCAATAGTTCTTCAAAAGTCATTAGGGATTTTAGTGATTGGCTTTGATTACTTAGGATAGGGATAGAGTATTGATAGTGTTAAAATGGCCATACATTATGAGAAATTCAGCAAGTTTATCAGCAATCAGCCAAAATTTACAGTGGGTGCCGCTGTCAGTATCCTTTCAGCCGACATACCTCGATCAGCTGGTAAAAGGAGCCGGTCGGAAAATCTTCGGATGAACAGAGCCAGCAGCCAATGAGCTGAAGCCTCTGTTCAAGTATTCTGACAGCAGCTAGCGCCCGCTGTCAGAATACATAGGAAACAGCGGGAATTCCTCAATCAACGCTCATTTCGCATTGCTGGAGGAATCTGTTTTTTTTTTTTTTTTTTCGTTCGTGGGTTGAACAAATAAAATAGAACAGTGTATGGCCAGCTTTAGTGTTACTTAGCATTAGGCCTTGGGTGAGGACTGCTAAAACTTGTAGGATTACCATTAAGTTAAAGAAAACCCAAAGAAATCTGAAGGTCTCCCATTGAAGATATCCTTCTCAATACTTTGATTCACTGACCAAGGACAGGTCTGCACCTGGTGAAGCTGGAGTAAGTCAGTTCTGTTTTGCATGTCCATTCCAGGCCATTAACTCAACAAGCACTGAACCCTTTGCATTAACATAGCAGCCAGGTTACAAGTAATTTCACAGCATACAGGGTTCCTTTAAAGAACTTGTACAGACATGACCTAAATTTACCCCCAGGCCTCCCTCTCCCCACCTAGAGCATGGCGCAGCTTTCATTTTATCTAGATTGTGTAGCTAGAAATAACTTATCACTCCCCATGACATCAGCAGGCTTGTAAAATTCTTGCAGGGGCAGCGGACGGGAGCTTTGTTCCTACTGACCTAGATGTATCCTCCTGCATTACCCAATAGCCCTTTTCCTACACAGTGTGGGTAATCTCTTGTGAGTCAGGGCAGCAGCAATGTTTTGTGGGGAAATACATTAATGTATGCATGTGTAGTAGGAGAGAGTGTTGCAGATAGAGATTTGTAGTGCAGCAGCAGGCCCTGACAACGATGGGTGCTGACAGGGCCACCAGCGGCTTGAATTTCAGCCAATTCAACAGGAATTGGCTGAAATTCAAGCCTTGTGTGGTTAGCTTAATCTGATCACAAAAATTAGAATTAAATATACGAAAAATGCTTGGTGCTATCCTTTAATATTCAAAGCAAACAAAACTACAAAAGGTTAGAGAAGTTAACATGTAATCCTCCGATACAAACACATAACAAGACAGCCGGTCTGCAGGATAACGCAGTGTATGAATGACCACGTCATTGGTTCCTGCTAAACTGATGGCTGCCTCCACTGATAGGAGAAAGTCTGCACGCAGCTCATCACATCTCACCAATCACATAGTAATACAGACACACATCCTACCAATCCACAGGCATACCCAAATCTCGGCTGACAAACAACTTCCTTCAGTAAGGTAGTTTGCTTTAATAAAACCAGACACTGGTCAATATTTAAGACGTCAAAATGATAATAAAAAAAATGTAAATCACAGAAGTCTGATAGTAATTTACAAGAAAAATTGAATATAGATACAGAGGTAGAAATTCGCTATACAAATGTGTTCTAACTATATTTTAACTTCATTCAAGGCACAACTGTAAAATGTTTTCTATACAAAAAAACATAAAAAAGTAGGTTTTATTTTGTAGCACACTCACAAAAAGAAATCTTTACACCTCTACATATTTCACATGTACAAGTATAGGGAGAAGGAGTCAGTACCTGTCTGCAAAACAGATTATGCAAAGCTGGAAACATGGCATCAGGTGGTACAGTACCATTAATTTTGAGAGGGTTCTGCCACCTTTATTGAGGCCTATTAACCATCATGACAGCCATTTTTGTTGGATATAAAAGCCTATGGATTTACTGGTAACCAGTGACAATCACTAGAGCTCTTCCCAAGAAACAGCCACAAGGCCTAACAAAAAAAGCTTTAATAAAGTGGACCATCCAGTAGTCATAAGTCTGTAGGAATACATTTCTGGACATGTTCCAAAATACAGCAACATTATAATTTTTCAGCAATGCTATTCCATTATAAAATGTCTTTATCGCATGGGTAGGCAACCTTGACACACCTGTTGTGGTGAAACAAACCCCATCATGCCTCTGAGGGCCAAGCCTGTGACCGTCAGAGTCTTGTAATGCCTAATGGGACTTGTAGCTCCACAACAGCTGGTGTGCAGAGGTTGCCTACCCCTGCTTGGTTGTCAAGTAATCCTTTAGCTTCAGTTACATGACTGAGGAAATGCTTCTGCCTCTTCTCTCCCCCAGTAATTAGATTGCAATATTGCAAGGACTTCTAGACAGGCATTGCTGTCAAACACCGCCTTTTGCATTTGAATGTAATGCTGCTCAAAATCATGGATTGTTAAAACACAGAAAAATAAAAAGTTGTGTTGGAACGGCTTGAAACCCAAAACAGAGCAGCCTCAGAATGGTCATCCACACTACACCATTGAACTAAATGGCATAGCAAATGTGTAGATGAGAGTCTGGTGAGCATTTTGACAGTATGTCAAATGCTGGAAAGAGCCCCAACTTTGTAGGAAGGTGAGAGGCTGATCTATGTCACACATCTCTACAGGCACTAGGATTTACATGACTATCATCTCTGAGCTTGCATTTCATGCAAGGGAGTAGATGCTGACCTTGGTTAATTCCTGAACGAAGATGGTGTTCTCCTTCTGAGGAGAAAAGAAAATGACTGTAAAGTCAAGGGGAATACTCCATGAGAAATACCTGCTGTTATACTGGCACATTACTTAGTATGCATGGATTTAACATGACAAAATACACCTAATGTTAGGTCCACTTTACTAACAAAATACACTATAGGAGCAAAAACCCAAAGCCACCAATCACAGGTCAACTTCCAAAAAGAATGTAAAAACAGATTGGACTGGCTTGTAGGAGATACAGCTCAACACTGCACCACAGGCATAAAATACAATTAAAGTCTATAAAGCAAGTAGATGCCAGTAGTCTTTTTGTTGTTTCTAGTAGGAGGTTAGAAAAAAGTATAAATTACACTTGTTGCTAAAGGAAATATATTCCTTTCTTTTTTTTACATTTTTATAGCTGTGAGGTTATTAAATTAAAAAAATAAAAAGTAGGCAGGCATCTGGTTTGTAGGCAGACGTGTCCATTTTTCTAAACACCAACTTCCATTTACAATAAAGCAGCTATCCTGCCCTTTACCCCTGAAGCTTGCATTTAAAGCTTCAATGCAATCCCTAAATGAAAACATACAAAAGGTTACCAATAAAAACTCAATACAATCTTAAAAGACTGCTAAAGTTTTGCAGTTCACCATCACAGTAAAACAATATTTTCCTTTGCCTTCTATACCTGCCAACGTTAGCAGGTATGAGATGGATTGATCTCCCTCTCACTAGCCTTTCTACAACCATTGCACAGATATACACATACTATTTAAGCTGCATTTAATAGATTAGAACTGGATATGCCACCTATATCATGTTTCAATACAAGCTGTATGCATCAAGTACCATTTTGCTCTCCCTGTGTAGAAACACAGTGCCAAAATTAAGTTTGTGGTCTGGACCATCATTCAGGTATATGAAGCTTATAATGAAGTTCTATTCTCATATAATGCCTTAACATGTGAATGGTTGCGGTAGGCAACAGGCTTAAGATGGCCATGCACTTTGGCCATGCAAATTTGCACAGTGGGTGCCGCCTGGATCAGCCAATCGAAGGAGCTTGTTGTAAAATCTTTGAACGAACAGGGCAGGCAGCCAATGAGCTGCTGACTCTTATTCGGGTATTCTGACAGTGACTGATGTCAGAATACGTTTGGAAGAATGTCACCAGCACAACAAAAATCCTTTCAGGATCACTGAGTGTTCATTTATTAAGAACCATGTCAAATGAAGACCAGCTCTTTCGAGGCTGCGCAGGGTCCCTTCATCAGGCTTAACATTGACAATGATATAGGGACCCTGCACAGCCCCTAAAGCGCTGGTCTTCATTTGACATGGTTCATAATAAATGAACGCTTGGTGATCCTGAAAGTATGTTTGGTGTGCTGGTGACATTCTTCCAAACAATTCATGTGGTTAGCGGAGCGATCCACAGTCACTATGAGCGCCTTCCCTGCTGTCGAGATATCCGGTGAGGAGTACAACAAGTCCTTTATTCATCCTGATGTCAGAATACAACAGAAACAGCGGGAGCTTCTTCGATCGACGCTGGCAAGCGTTGATGGAAGAATCGCTTATATTTTTCCTCGTTTAGCCCATGGGTTGAGGGAAGAAAATATTACAGTGTATGGGCAGCTTTAGTCTTCCTTTGCTATTTTAAAAAGTGTAACAGAACGTTCATTCTCCAAAAACATGATGGAAGAAGCTGACCACTAAATGGACAAGATATTTTTCTTCTTAAGGAGAGGTACTTTGTTTTGTTAAATGTATAGGCCTGGCTATTCAAAAGAAAAATCAATACATAAGTAGAACCAGTGCACAGATCAACCACATTCCTTGTTTCTTAAAGGATGAAAGATGAAAATGGATTGGCGGCTTTGGATGAACGGTTTTCTACTTTTGCTCTACATTTCCTTGCTTTCATAACAATCTGACTCACAGTGAGTTACAGGTACACTTTCAATAATAATGTTAAGACAATAAGAAAAAAATGCTTACATGCTGGCAAGCAGCAGATTTCTATACAGACATCTTAATGTGATTTAGGTTTTATATCTGCAGTTTTATTAATCATTTCTTTAAAACAAGCTAATGTAACAGTGTATTTGTAGAAACTGCTTTTACTGTTTTACAGTAGCTCTACAGAAAGTTTATTGCTACATTTAAGCTTATCGTTTGCCTTTAGTTGGTCACATTTTCAAATGTTCTTGCTAAATTTACAGTGTGTGAAACAAAAATTGGGGAAACCACGTATGAATTCAGAGTCCAGCCACGAGTTCAAGGATAAGTCGAGTCGTAGTGTAGGGGGGAAAAAAAAAAAAAAAAAGAAGTCCCATATGTAAATCTGTTGCACAAGTGCCTTTACCAAATCAGTCTTTAAATGTGTTGAATGTTCAACAATAAAGATCAGTCTAATCACGAGACAAAAAAAGTTACACTAAATGATGAAGGAAAATTAAATTCCGTTTTTAGCTTCATTGTTATTTGTGGCTTGTTTCCGCTGAGCAATGAAGGGGTACATGCACTTGTCTGCTCCCAGGAACCGGTACATACAGACCACTGCTTCAAACGGCAGGATGCTGCAGAGACAAAAAAAGAAAAGGTCATCACTAAAACAAAATAAACTACATACATTTGAATAAGAGGTGCAAAGAGCAATGAGATTTTACAACATGGAGAAATCTGTAACCAAATTTTGCTCAACTGCAGTCAAAGGATTTTTGATTAGTGAATGACTGCATTGCGCAGCCTTGAATACAAATTAACAAGTCAGCCAGAACAAGTGAAGACCTTTTAGACAAACTACACACATCCAAAAGTGTCCTGTGATCACTTAGCATTTTTTTTTTTTTAATGGCTGTGTGCATGAGCCCTGGGTTTTGATACGCAAGCTTGCACCTCTAGGTGACTTTCAAAAACTGCTTGTAGAACACTTTAAAAGTGACCAATTAATGGAAATCTTCCAAAGTTTGGACTATAACAGTAACTGCAATTTCACACACACCTATATAAATTATATATATACATACACTTATATTAGTTTATAGGAACTCATTAGTAAACAATCCACCTTAAACTCCCAGCATGTAACATTTTTGCTGTTCATTGTTTTGTACTCACAATCAGCACATTTCTAAATCTGGAAAATGTGACAATGTTATTTTTTGTAATAAAATAAAATGTATCCATAAAATATACAGACAGCACTCCGCAGTCCATAAATACTAAAAGTCTAGGTCGCACGGCCTCATCTTGTAAAACACAGGCACCAAGCATTTGCAAAGATTTTTGTTGTTGTTCTTTCTTGGTCTGCATTACCCTAACTATCACTCAGCTGTAGAGCCGAGTGATACACAAATAAGATCTAGTATTGTTAATAGTTAGGGTACTTGAATGCATATTTAAGATAAAAATCCTGAGTTTTAACCAAGATTTCAGGCTAGAAGCATGCTGGCTAAGCTGTCAGACAGAGAAGCACAATGCACTCAGTGGATTCCAGTGGCGATAATCCCGTTACCTTTTCATACAGGTCACAATGTACATGAGACGAGGCGTACAGATCATCGGCTGGTCTGTAAGGATGGCTCTCATGGCTTGCTTCACACAGTAATCTGGTTTCAGGGGGGGGAGGAAAGGCTCAATTTCTTTCCTGAAAAGATAAAATGTTTAGGTGAGTTTTATTTACACATTCCATCTCCAAGTCTGTTTCAAACCTTCATAACAGCATAAAATAATGAGGTGCACCTGGATGAAAGCTGCTTGGCTGCCCAAATCAGCATTGTCTGGCTTCCCTCAGCAAAAGATAAATATAAAAATCATATATAGATAAAGCCTCTGCTAACTGATTAAAAAATAAACTGGACTTAGAGCGGGTAATGCAACATATATTTAAAGCTACAGGTTCTTAGAAAACAGGAATCACTGTTTATGTTTCACATACAAGAAACACTAGTTAATAAAAAAACATACAAGCAAAATATGTAACAAAACAGAAAGACAGTGCCTCTTCCTAGTGCAATACCATTTATGTAAAAAATAAAATAAAAATATATATATATAAAAAACAAGAGCATCTGGATACCCACAGGTGTATGAAAGATCAGAGCATATAACTGTCCACCGATGGACAAACTGGACCCTCAGCAGGGCTGTCCAATATATGATGGACCAACCCAACAAAGGTTGACCCAGGTGTAGCAAAAGCTAATGTGTTTTGGGGGCAATTCCCCCCTTCAGAGTTGAAGCTTAGGGACAGATTTAGAATGCATCAAATTATCCATTGCTAAACCTGTGAGCTAAAGGGTTATATTCTGCTAGAGGAAGCACAGTCTTAGAGGCATTGGAGCGCTGAACCTGGAAATGAATTGTCCAAGACTCGGACACAAAGATGCCATATAAGTGGCTACAGTACTAGTAAAATGTATGGTAATATTGAAAAGCCACCTATCCCAGCCATCATTTTATATATAGACACACACACACACACACCTTAAAGCTGAACGCCAGGTACTGAATGTTCGACTTGGAATTGTTTTGATCTATACACGGACTGCAGCGCATGCTCTAGTTCAGTCTACAGATTCAGCATCTTGCAGATGCAGGGAGACAAAATAATGCAACTACAGCACGCATGCATGAGAGTTACATCATCAGTGCCTGCCCAATGGGCAAAACAAGAAGATGGTGGAGCCTGGAGAGTAAGATAACCGGGCACTGGCAGGGACATTATGGATGCAGGGAGCCCGGACCTGACATCACTGGAGGAGAGCAGACCCAGAGGCATGACATATATGGGTTGGTTCTGGAACTAGAACTAAAAATAATCATGTTTATCATCTCTGTCCATGTACTAGGTGTGGGCACCTCTGGCCATGTACTAGTTCTTCTGTGGCAGCTCTGAATTGTGCCTATTGAGAGAACCAGTTCACTATAGAAAGCATTGGAAATCTTTAACATTCTGGGAAGAAAGTGTTACAACATTTCAGTGACATACATGTAGTGTCCATCGATATGTCTGCAATAAACTACACATGACTATTTATGCTTTAACCTTTCAGAATAATTTCCTAGGACAGAAGAACAGACATCACGACTACATCAAGGACATATTATATACACTAACCTGATTCTGCAACCCCGAAACATGCCTGTGTCCACCAGATAGGGACAAACCAAAGTAGTTTTAATCCCATCTTTGTCTGCAGCTTTCAGTTCATGGCTGAGAGACTCGTGGAAACCCACAGCGCCGAACTTGCTAGCGCAGTAATCCTGTGTTGTAGAGAGAGGGAGATGCACATAAAAATCCATGCATTGGCATCTACATTTGTTTATTATGTGCTATTGAATAAATGAGATAAAAGACAAAAATCTAGAAGTGGCAAGAGTTTAAAAGAATACACAGAAAAAAAATAAAAATGTGGCAGTCAGATACATGCCATTTTAACAGGTTTATATATACATTGACTTAGCTGTGTATAGGGTGCTTCACTGCTCAGTGGACAACCTTGTGCCACCAATGTCATGCTAGCTAATCTAAAAGATTTTTCATCAAAGCCTACTGTGTTCATTTCAAATGGCACACGTAATGGCTAGGCTGTTTGGGCAACTGTATTGTTAATTTACAACCACCATGAGTTTTATAACCAGGACTCCATAAACATAAGCAAACCAGTAATGTTGCCCTAGGTCCGCAATGGCGGACCTATGGCACACGTGTCACAGAGGGCACGCAGAGGCCCTCCAGGTGGCATGCGAGCCTAGGAGCTGGGGCTCGCACATTCCAGGTTCTCACGTGTGGTGCTCCACACGGGCCTCCGGTGTCCCACTGGTCTCCGTATCATATTAATTTTTCAAAGATGGAAGGTGCCTGGATCCTACTTGATATATTGTAGAACTGGCAATATATTAAATGAAAATCATCCAGTGGTGGTCCAGTGGAGGATCAGAATGATCTGCATCTCTAGCTGATGCAGACCATACTAATTGCTCCCTCGTGGTGCTGCCGCTCACAAGGAGTGATTAGTATGGTCTGCATCAGCCAGAGATGCAGATCACACATCCTTCACTGGACCACCAGGATCATCTCAGATTCCCCCAGTGGACCCCAGGGATGCAGCCTCCTCCCTGCAAAACAGGTAAGCAGGAGAGGGGGCAATTTTTCAATTATTAACTTTTAGTTATGTGTTTTAATGTGTGTGTTTGTATTTTATTGAATGAGTGTGTGATGTTTTTTTTGGTTTTTGTTTGAGTGTGTGAAGCATGCATTTTAATTAGTGTGTGTGTTTCATTGAGTGTGTGTGTTTTATTAGTTTGTGATGTGTGTGTTTATGAATGTATGATTACACGTTTGTATCCGAGTGTATAAATGTTTGAATACGTGCGTTTCGTATTTTGCCTAAGGCAGTGATGCTGAACATTTTTTTTTTTTTAACTGCAGTGCCCGAACTAAAAACACACTAACATACTTATTGTCAGTTTTGGCACTTTGAGATAAATAAATTGATTTTGTGTTGCAGTTTGGGCACTCAAAAATGTTAGCCATCACTGTCCTAGCTGGATACAAATACTAGAAACGTTTTCCAATCATTACGATTGGTGGCAATGGAGTCTTCAACTACTTTAACACTAGTAAGACTTACATCGATCAGCCACAACATTATGACCACTTAGAGGTGAAATTAATACCATTGATTATCTCATTACAATGGCACCTGGAAGTGTGTGGGATATATTAGGCAGCAAGTGAACATTTTGTCCCTGAAATTGGGGGGGGGGGAAAAACAAATTGGAAAGCGTAAGGATTTAAGCAACTTTGACAATGGCCAAATTGTGATGGCTAAACGACAGGGTCAGAGCAACTCCGAAATTGTAGCTCTTGTGGGATGTTTCTAGCCTGACAGGGCATGGGCAACAATTGATGCACATGGGAGCGAAGACTGACCTGTGTAGTCCAATTCAACAGAAGAGCTACTGTAGTTCAGATGGCTGGGTGTCAGATACCACAGCATACCTTCAGAGGAGTCTAGCGGGGTCCATGCCTCAACAGGTCAGGGCTGTTTTGACGGCAGAAGGGGGAACCTACTAAATATTAGCCAGGTGGTCATATTGTTAAGGCTGATCGGTGTATGTGCCCAGCGTTGGGATTTAAAGTTGGGCATTTTGATGTTATTCCAGAACTTACCTCTACACCTGCGGTGCTAAATAACCCCAGCGAACTGGCCACGGTTACAATGTGCCCATGGTTCATGTCCATCATTTTAGGAAGAAATGCCTTTGCAGTCTGGAAAAGAAAACACCAACTGGAGTCAGAGGAAGATCCCTAATTTACACTATTATCTAAAATACTGCAGGCAGTCAAAAGGGAGATTAGCTTAACAACCACTATCAATGCATTTACCATCTGTCAACTATACAACAATAGCAAGGAAAGTGACAGTGCCAATCGGCACAGTCTGCAGTGTTCCATATAAACCAGTTTCCTGGCACAGAACAAGACGAAGCATACAGCGCAATGATACAAGTAACAGAAAAACAAGTGTCCATTGCTGTGTTTAATCCCTTTCGCTGCCTTCCTCCGCATAAGCTGCAGCAATCAAATGTCTGCTATAAATCTCTGCTGATCTGGAGATGTGCAGAACACAAAATAGCTTCAGGATTGACTTGCTGGATTTTAACATTTTAAGAGTTTATTTCCAGCCAAAAACATTTTTTTCTTATAATTAATATAAAATTTGATCAGTTACAGACATTGGCTAGAGGAAGATTTCTACATAATGCTAAGCACAGGTCACTAAAAGCAAAATAGATACAAAATGAAAATAAGAATATTTTAAATTAGGGTTAGCTCACACAATAGCACACAAAAAAAAAAATACATGCAGTTTTTAAAGTGAATGTGAAGCTACTTTTGGATTAAGCGGGGGAGGATTATAATGCCTGTCAGGTTTTTACAGTTATCTCTGTCTCTAAAGTGATTTACCCTCAATCATTGTCCTGCTGAAAACAGTTTCACCAGACAGGAAACAAGGGACACAAAAATTAAAACTCAGTTAGGGAGGTCGCTGTCCCCTACTCTACTAAATAAAAGCATCTTTATTTCTGTCTGTGTTGCTGTTGGAGAGTTTCCTCACTTCTAGTAAAATGTCAGCAAGACAGGAAGTGAAGATAAAGCTCTCCAATGGAGCCCCAAATAGCAGTAAACCTCTTACTTTATCCAAAACGAAGGCTGGCCATACACCTATAAATGTTTGATCGGAAATAGTCATTGCTGCCAAGAACCCTCTTTCGATTCTAGCTCAAATAGCCCGTCACGCACAGAGCAACGTAGATTTTGATAATCGTTTGTTAGCACTACCAACTCACCGAATTTTGTCGATCAACAGAACGGATTTGCCTTTGCACATGTGCAGCTATTTTTTTTGCTTACGAAAACCCCACTAATCCATCGATTTTCCCACGACTCGAAAAAAAGTTTTCCAGCCTGACCGATCGAGAAAATTCAGATAGGAGTACAGGAATTAAAATCGTTGGTGTCCCATCAACTGATCGATTATCGTTCGAAAGACCATTTGTGGACCATTTCCGAACAAAAAATCAATAGGTGTATGGGCATGGTTAGACATGCATTGCAGCGCAAATTAAAATGTATTTTCAAACACAGGTGGCAGTGTATTATTTAATCCCTTATTTTATTTTTTCACTGTATGCTACTAAACATGCTTAGGATAGAACACCTTAGAATAGTATGCAAAACTGTTGGATGTTAACAGACACACATCGGTTTACATCCGGCTGCCCATATAGTTACATTAGGTTTCTGTCAGTTTTCAGTTGGATCTGATCGGACACCCTGTGTGAAATAGATAGATAGATAGATAGATAGATAGATAGATAGATAGATAGATATCTATCTATCTACGGATAGATAGATATAGATAGATATATACACTGCTTTTCACAAAGCAGTGTATATATATTCCCTTGGGCTGGGAATCTGGTAAGGTGTTTGGTTTACATGCAAATTGTACTTCACTATCTTTGCCTTCTTGCGCTGTTACAAAATACAGAACAAGAATCATTGCAAGACTACAAGGTATATACAAAAAAGGGAAAACATACTCCTTCCAAGCCCCTTAAAAAAAAAAGAATTGGCCAAAATGTTCTTACTGAAATGTTCTCCTGGCTGGGCCAAGCAAAACAGGTAGTTTTCGGATCTCCTTGCACTTTTAAAGATTTCCAAGTAATTCTTTGAAGCGTTCTTAATTTCTGTCTAACAAGATTATCGCTGCGTCCCCTGAAATCAAATCTGCTGTAATTTTTTGACTTTGTTGGTGCCAACTGCTGAGCACAGAGTAATCATTGTAATTTAATCAACAAACTCCTGAGAACCATCTTGTGTTTGTTTAAGATCTAACAAAATTCTGTTATCGCGCCATGTCCTTCCTTCCAACACAGCTTCATTACAACGCTTGCCAATTCAGAGAATAAAAGTGCTGAAGAAGGGGGCGGATGGGGGGGTGCATGAATATAGATCTTATTAAAAAATACATTTACACGAAAAAAAAAAAAAAAAAGAAACAAAAAAGAAGAGGGACTTCTTCCAAAGTGTAAAAAAAACAAAACATATTTTGATGCTGAATACGAGATCTGCTGCAAGCATTCCAAAATGGTAATTTCTGTCTAAATAGCCCCACATGGCCTTTTTGCACAGTGGACTTGCAGGTGTTAAGCAAATAATCCGTGTTGGCTAGCGCTGCTCGGAACGGAGAGAAGGCAATTGTATAGATAGTTGGCTGCCAAAAGGAAGGATTAGCAGAGGTCACCCCCCCCCCCCCCCCCCCCCCCCCCCCCTCCACACATGCATATCTATCATTTCATGAGTGTTTATTGCTACAAAATTGACTCACTTTAACCAGAGATGGACAAATGAATATGGAATGCTGGAGCCAGTCTTTCCAACCCAGAATAATAATTTTAAAAAAATGTAAGGGCCAGCTCTATTTACAACAATTTTGAGCTACCCGGCTCCTGGGATTTGTCCAGTCCTACCTTGAAATGCAGGGTATCTCCCATTCATTTAAGACCTGTTGAGATCTTTGCAGTCAGTTACTGCTCGCAGGTTAAAGTGTGGTGTCTAACTCATTAACATGCGTTGCATTTAGGCAGCCTGAGCTGCAAATGCACCGCAACAGAAGACAAACCGAACCTGCACTTGTAGGCGTTATGCCACCTAGTAAACTTGTGTTTTGGGGAAACATTCTAAATCAATGGGACAACACAAACTGGACAACACAAATCTGGACATTATCACAACATAATAGTGTGAAGCCAACCTTCACCATGTACAAAATATGACATTATCACTTTGTCATCATTATGATGGCTACAATTTTCAGTTTATGTTTTTATTTCTGTAGGCTACCACTTTACTCCTGGAACTGATTTTTGCCATCTGTTCTCTCTGTTGAAGTTCCTGCACATTTTCCCCATGTCCGCTTAACAGTTTTTGCACAATGTTAAGTCCCCTTTTTACTGTGCACTACAGTATAAGCCACACCGAGTTTTTGCAGCAGCTTGTGCCACCTTCCTATCATAAAAACAGTTCTTCCAAGTTGACATCGAACACATTGAGCATGTCATTTTTAGGCCTCAAATATAACTAGTGAAGGGTGTCACAATGTCTTAGTAGTTAGCAATGTCATGTAACTTTGGATTCTGAGTTATGTTCTGTTTGGATGTCTTGTGAACTTCCCGATACTCAAAACTTTCTGCATCTCTCCAGAAAAAGATTAGGCCTAGGGTGGAAGGGTAGCTACATATTATGGTAGAGGGTTAGATACTGTATATCACATCTACCTTATTCAACATTTTTTTTTAAGCCACAAAAAAAATAAAAATAAAAAAAAAAGAATTCAATCAAACAATGTACAGCATTAACTCCAGAGCAGCAGATCTTTTTCTTTTTTAAACCACGGCACCCTGGAAAAGTATGCAAAATCTCTAGGAGCCACAGTCTAAAGATGTAGATTTTAAGTGGGGACCAGTGTGCAAAAAAAACAAAAACCCCAGCAACAAACACAACCCAATACACCACAAAAAAAAGAGGGTTT